TAGGGCTTGGTCTGCAGGCCCTTAACCATACGAGTGGCCCTTCTCTGGACCCTCTCCAGGTTATCCACATCCCTCTTGAAGTTCAGCGCCCAAAAGTGTACGCAGTACTCCAACTGCGGTCTGACCAGTGCCCGATAGAGGGGAAGTATCACCTCCTTGGACCTATTCGTCATGCATCTGCTGATGCACGATAAAGTGCCATTGGCTTTTCTGATGGCTTCGTCACACTGCCGACTCATGTTCATCTTGGAGTCCACTAGGACTCCAAGATCCCTTTCCACTTCCGTGCCACCCAGCAGGTCATTTCCTAGGCTTCTTATGTTCATATTCTTATGTTCTTCCCCAGGACCCCCGGCACCTACAGTATTTCGCTGACCTCAATGAGTCCAACATCTACTACATTACCCAAGGCAAGAAGTACTATGGCACACCCACTGAATACAGCTTCTGCATCAAGGTGAGGGGCCCAAAACAACTGCCCCCTGAGGGACCTCAGCTGGGCATGAGTCAGCCCCTGATTATGCAGGGCTAGATTCATCCTAGGTTTAAACCCAGCAGGAGTCAGTTGGGTTACACCAGAGTGAGATTTGGTCCAGGCTTCAGAGACCTTTAAGACACTTTCAAGGTGGAAGGGACTAGAGAACTGCAGGAGTGGCATCTAGTGGTCAGATCAAAGAAGGGCTGAGAGTCAGGATGCCTGAGTCCCAGTGCCAGGGATCAGGCAAGTGTAGCCTAGAGATAAGGCAGATGAGCCTGGGATGTAGGATGGTTGGGAGTCTCTGTCCAGCTTGCATCTAGTCCAGGCCTGAACTCTTCATGATTTAGGAAGCAGGCTGGCTTTCTGGGGTGAGGCCAGGATGCTGGACTCCTGGGTTCCATTCCTAGTTGTCAGAGGCAGAAGGTCTAGAAATCAGGATTTCTAGGGGAGCAAGTCCTCATGGTTAAATCAAGAAGCTGGGGTTCAGGACTCCTGGGTTCTTCTCCCAGCAGTCCCCCTTGGGGCTGCTGACTATAGAATGGGTCTAGGGCTATCAGGAAGGCTTGTTAGTGGGCAGAAAGGGCCATGCTGCCCTCTCCTTGCCAGCATTGGGGACGGCACCATGCATTGTTGCTGTTGCTTTGCCCTGCAGCCGTACAAGGTGCGCAGTGGCACAAAGGGCCTGAAGCTGTTCTGCAGTGAGGAGGAGCAGAGCCGCACCTGCTGGATGGCTGCCTTCCGTCTCTTCAAGGTATGTGCTCCCCCAGCCCTGCCCCTTTATCTGCTGAGCTATCAGCACCAACAGTGACACCTGTTGGTGGACCTGGGGCTAATGCTGCTATTGAGCCCTTTGCACCAGTTGTGGTTCTTTCTCTGCTGATGCTAATAAATGCTGTCTCCTTCCCAGTATGGTGTGCAGCTCTACAGGAACTACCAGCAATCCCAGTCTAGGCACAGCCAGCTGGCGTGGATCGGCACCACACCCCTGGTAAGTACCTTGCCCTAACATATCTATGAGGGTGGCTTGGGGTTCCCTTAGCAGCATCTCCACAGGACATTATTTTTAATAGCAGCCTCTTGCCTTGTCTCAGCAGGTTAAATGTTGCATTGTTCTAGGCTGACCCCCTTCCACATTCCCCATAGAAAGGGTATAGCCCAGGTTGGAATAGGGTCTGTGTGGACATATGCAAGCTGCTTACTGCCCCCATCACTCTAGGCTGGGGGTTTCCCTGGGCCAACCCCTCAGCATCTTCCTTTAGCACAGTGGAAAGTGTGCCTCCTCCCACTAGGGGCATGGGGTGAGGACAAATGGTCCAATATTAAAGTTGTAGCCTGGAACTTGAGGGCCTCACATTCAACTCCCTGCCCTGTCCCTGACATCCTGAGCAAATTACTTATAGCTTCCCTTTTTGGGACCTGTGGAAGAAATATGCATCTGGCAACCCACTCCTGGGTTCCACCAAGTTCCTTGTTCTCTGCAATTTCTCTAGCACAGTGATTCTCAACTAGGATACCTTAAGATCCTTTCAAGGGTGTCACAGGGTGTCATGCAATGTTACCACCATTAGGTGTGAAAACATGATGCACCAAATAAACCTAGAGAAATCGAATGGAAATGCATAGTTGTGGTCCTTTCGAGCTCTTTGCAACAGAAAACCCCCCTGGTCTATGATTTTTCTGTGGTCAAATAAAAAGTGAAAACTAAGAGCTGGCATTTTCCCAGGGTATCAGGAGTCTATCCAGGGATGCCTCAAGTCTAAAAAAGTTGAGAACCACTGCTCTAGCACTATCAACACCAGTGTTAACATTGGGCACAACATGAGAGTGCCTAGAAGCACTATGAAAACCTCCCAGGCAGAGCCAAGCAAAACACAAAAGGTTTTCCTTCTTCCTTGGAGAAGGCACCCTTGGAGCATCTGGCCTCGGTGTGCACTTGGGAGCCCAGCCCCTAGGGAGAATGGACAACTATACTACAACTCCCACAGGGCAGTATTTCTAAATAGAAATACTTTGCCATGGAGCAGTCAGGTTTTCACAAATTCCCAGGTATAAGGAGATGCTTTTCATGAAAAAAAAATCCTTTATTGGAAACATCAGTTTCCCAACCCCACTGTCAATGGAAAGTCTTTGACCAGAACTTCATCCAAGCTAACCCAACACATTTCAACCAGTGGGAGCTCCTAGTACCCACTCTCCGGCAGGGTGCCTTCCATGCTTGTACAAGCAGAACCAAAGCCAGGATGGTCACAGACATCCTGTGCCTGGTATAGCCTCTGGGGAAGACCATGATGAAGCCATGTACTAGGGTGGCACAGCCTGAGAAGGGAAAGCAAAATTGAATAGGGAAATAAAATCCTGTCTCTTTGTGAGGGTCTCCAAGCCAACTCCACCCAACACCAGCCAGAATGATTTTTGGTGTAGGGAGCAGGCTGGCCTTCTCCATTTCTCCTTGGGCATCATGTTGGGCAAGTAGCAGATGGCTAAGGTCACAAGGCCCTCATGGGCAAGGGGCTGAGCATATAACCAGAAAGCTAAAGTCTCTGGAGCCCTGGTTATGCTAGAGTCTGTAGTTACCCATCTCCTACTGCAGCCAGCAGAGCTGCTAGTCTTCTCCACCCCTGTCCTTCCATAATTATACAGAGCCAGAGCACAGGACAGGGAGCTCTCTGGCTCTGCCCAAGGCAAGTTGCTTCCAGGCCCAGAGTACCTCACAGCCTCTTCAGCACCAGATAGACCCTTAAAGGGTGTACAGAGGAATGCACATCAAGTTCTCTCTATAAGGGCCACCTAATAGCATCGCCATGTTGGGGGTGGCCCTTCTGGCTCAGCCTGAGATCAGTGAATGTCAAAGCAGTGCAGGCAGAACGAGCAGGAGAGGCCCCATCTCAAGCTGGGCTTAAATGGTGTCAGCTTAAAGGACCCAGTCCATTCCCTGCTTTTAGGAGGGCTGCTCTTCCAGCTGGGGCTCAGATAGTGGGTCCTGAGCTCTTTGGAAATCTGTCCCCTGGATTCACTGGACAGCATCAACCCAGAGTAGCATCTGCCTGGGACTGAGAAACCAGAAGACGGTTTTGCGGAGCAGAAAGAAGTAGCCAACACAGCCAGCTGGTCAAGAGACATGCCCTTTAGCACAGCCAGGGACCTGGGGCTATGGTGGGACTTCCTGAGGGAGCTTGAGGCTGCCCTGAACAGATCCAGCTCAACAGTGGGTGCCAGCCTGATGCAGCACTTCCCTACGGAGTATGACTCAGTACTGGCTTAAACAGCTGCCTCTCTAAGCTGCTTGCAAAGCAGTGACCTACAGAGCTGCAGACCCACACCTTTGGCCCTAAGCCCCCTTCCTCCTGCATACTGCTCCCCCTTGGCACTCAATCACCTGGGCTTCTCCATGCAGCTGTTGTTTCTGTCCCATAGAGGAGCGTGTCCGATAACACCCTGGTGGCCATGGACTTCTCAGGGTGCACAGGCCGGGTGATTGAAAACCCCAACGAGGCCCTGACTGCAGCCCTGGAGGAGGCCCAGGCATGGAGGGTGAGTCTGTGCTTCTGTGCAGAGCTGGAAGTCAGGAGCTCGGGGAAGTGAGCTCTGGCTGGAGCAAGACCTGTATGCCCCATCCAACCTCCTGCCACAAGGCTGGTTTGCTTGCTGGTCTGCAGAGTTCAGCCTGAGCTGTGATGCAAGCTGGAGATCAATCTTTCATTCAGGAAAGGAAAGCCAGCCTCACACCCTGACCCTTAAAGCCCCTTGCTAGAGGAGCACAGCACACTACCAGGACAATGTCAAAAGGCTAGGGCTAAGGCTCCCCAGCTGGTCTCTGTTTCCTCCATCCAGAACACAAGAATAAATACTCTTATCTCCAACTTCCTCTTCCTTATATACTGCTCCCAGCCATGTGATAGGCTAGATCACTTAACCCTTTCCAGGCTGCTGCTTAGCCTGCTGCCTCCCAGGTCTTTTTAAACCGCTTGAGTTAAACAGAACCCTGGAGCTGTGAGGCAACCATGGTGAACAGCCACACATTCACATTCATCCTCAGTCAGGGCTAAACCTGGAGATGGCCTCAACAGCTGCAGATGCATGGTTCTAGGTGGTCCTCATTCACCAACATCTAAGCTGAAACTCACTGGCTGGCTGGGTTGGAGAGCAGCCCAGGCTCCCTCCATAGAAAGCACTGGAGGACAAAATGAGGATTTGAAAATGAAATGCCATCATTTTGATTTTCCTGGTGTGAAGTGGGGGAAGTTTATCACAATCAAGCCTTTCCCATAGGGAGAACTAGTAAGATTGGGATTCTTTAGCTCCCGTCCTTGTAAATGTATGTAGTCAAGGAGGAAGAGCAGCTCGCAGGGGCAAATCCAGGAGTGCATCAGTGGGATCCCTCCCCTGGCTGTTCCATGTGAGCACTCAATGTGGGGTCTGCTCCCCTGCTTTCATGTGGGGAGCCCAGGGGGTGAGCACTGCCACAGCCACTTGTACCCCTTTGCCCTGCTGCTGAATTCAGCAGTTAGGAGGAAAAGGGAAGATCATACAGCAGCAGTGTTCATCCCCTGAGCCCCAGAGCTGTGCCAAAGCAGGGGCTCCCACTAGCCCCTGCTCTGATCAGTTGGTGAGTTCAGAGCTCACTGCTCATGCTGAGCTGGAGCAGGAGCCCACGTTGATGGGGCAGTGAGCTCAGAACTCACTGTGCACTCATGGCATACCTGAAGTGGCTGGGGAAGGCTGCAATCCCCTTGCCTGGTTCCTGGGTCTGCTACAACCAGCTCAGGGTGGCTGCTGGGCCTGTGAGCTATTCTGAGCTCCAGCCAGTGCCTTCAGATGTGGCTCCCTTGGTGCAGCTCCATCTGCATCCAGCTGAATCCCCAAGGAGCTTAAAGGACAGGGAAGCCTTGCCAGCATAATAGGGCTGCAGTAGAGGTGAGTGCAGCTGCTCTGTGAACCTCCCACTCCTGTAGGCCTTGCTCCAGTTGTCTCCAGCTTTGCTCTGTCTTCACTACCAGGTCTGACTATCACTATCAGCCTTACTTCTTGTTTTACTTGCCATTAAAAGAGCACAGAGCTAAGACCTAATAATAATGAAACCCCAGTAATACCCAGTCCTTCCTTTTGCATGCCACAGAAGAAGACAAGTCACCGCTACAGCCTCCCAACACCCTGCCAGAGCTCCCCACTCAGCACAGGTAAGTTGAGACCCCCCACACCCCTTACTCCGCACTGCCCATACTCCGCACTGGGGCAAACAAAGTGGAGGCAGCCTGAATCAGGGCCCTTCCTGCCTTCAGGTCTGATGAGCTTCGATAGTCACACAACCAAGTGTGCCCCAAGGGATATTTCCCCACCTTGGGTTATCAGGGAATTTCAGAGCTGGATCAAAGCCATCCCTGCTCCTGACTCTTCCATTGCTGCCAGCTAGAGAATGCACTATTGAAAGTGTGTCAAATTCACCACCTGAATTCACTGCAGGGCTCCTTGTGGGCCAGATCTGGCCTAGGGCATGCGGTGGCTCTGGCTCTAGCTCCGGCTTAGGGCATGTGGCAGCAGCAGGGCTGGTGCCAGGAGAAGTAAAGTAAACATGATAGTGGCAACAGGCCAAGTGGCTGCAGAGCAACTGGGGGTTGTATCAACCCTTGCTGCCCTCCTGCCACTGATTGCTGTGTCCACCAGTGCCCAAGGGCCTCAGATGCTAGGGCAGACCATGCCCCCCTGGCCATGCCCCACAACTCCATGACCCATCAGTAGCCTGGCAGGTCGACTAGAGCAGCTCCATGGGCCACATCCAGTCTACAGAGTCTGTTTGACACCCCTGTTCTAGTGGCCGAGGCCCTGGCTTGGGACTCAGGAAAGCTAAATTCCCTTCCTGTTTATGCCACAAATTCCCTGCATGACCCTGGACAAGTCTGTTCATCTGTCTGTGCCTGGATTTTCCCTCTCACCATTTGTTTTGCTTACTGAGACTCTGCTCTCTGAGGCAGGCACTTTCTTTTCCTGTGTGGTGTGTGGAGCCCAAGCACAGCTGGGGCTCTGATCTCAGTGCCTGCAGATAGACCAGGTTCTCATTTACTTGTTTGTACTGCAAGGATGCCGAGGGGCCCCAGTCATGAACCAGAACCCACTGCACCAGGCAGTGTACAAACACAAAACCAAAGGACAGTTCCTGCCCCACAGAGCTTACTTATCATCTCAGTAAGTACACTTAAAGACACATGACACTTTTAAGTCTGCCAACCCCCAGTGAGACATCTTTCTGAGGGAAGGATTTATGAGAGAGACAAATAAAAAGCATTTCCCCCCACTAACACTTCCTTTGTTCCCAGCCATCCATCGAACCCAGCCATGGTTTCACGGGCGGATTTCAAGAGAGGACTCACAGCGATTGATCATCCAGCAGGGACTAGTGGACGGGTACGGGAACTCCAACTGCTCTCTGTTAACCCAGAGTGAAAGTTAACTCAAAGGACTTGCTGCTACAGGATGTTAGTGAACACAAGGGCTTAACAAGAATGCCAAAGAAACTAGCTCATTTGTGCCAACATCTATAGTTTTAGTCTCTATCTATTTGGTATGAAAGCCCCAGTTCTGAGATTCAAATGATGATGTAGAGCAGTGATTCTCACTCAGGGTGCTGGGGCACCCTGGGATGCCACCAAATCCTTTGAAAGATGCTGGGAGATGTGAGGAGGTAAGTAACATGTGAGGAGATAAGCAGATAAAACCCTGCCTGGCCAGCCCTCCACCCCTATTGCCCTTTGCAAAGAGGTAAGCACTGCACTATATATACATTGGTTTTTTTAAATTGGGTTCCACTCAATTCACAAAAGTTATGGAGGGGTGCCTTGAGTCCAATGAGGGGTGCCTTGAGTCCAAAAAAGGTTGAGAACCACTGATGTCAAGAAATCTGTTGCTTTTTAAATAAAACGAGATTGTAGCCTTTGTAGTCATTGATAAAAATTGCCACACATGACCCCAGAAAGCTTGAAAACCAGAAGGCCGACATCAACCCTCCCCACAAGCAACTTAAGAAATGGTCTTGAGACCTTTAAGCCCATCCCGTAATATTTTTGAGAATGTTACTCTTGTTTTTTGAACAGCTGGCACTTGCAGTACTAGATAATATAAGCTCTGGCAGCTGTGTTAGGGAGGATACAATGAGGAGGACATCCACTCTTTATGCTTCTGGGAACCCACCAGTGTTGGTTGTCAGGAGGAAATCCCCACTTCTTGGTGGAGGGTTGTGCTGTTAAGCAGAATTTCATGCCTTCTGGTTTTCCGTTGCAGGCCCCTGGCAGAGATGAGACCTCTGCCAGGACTCACTGCACCCTGTAGCCCTGACAGGAGCTTTAGCTGCTTTCAGCAGTGTCCCAGGTGTGGCTGTACTGTTTTCAGCTGAGCTTACCTGCAAGCTTGAATGCTTCTCAGGGCACCCCTGGTGGGCAGCAGATGGTGGGTGGGCAGGGGCAGCATGTGGGTGACATCCCTTCCTTGTGTCTTCCAGGGTGTTCTTGGTTCGAGACAGTCAGCGGAACCCCAAGGGGTTCGTCCTGTCGTTGTGTCATCTGCAGAAAGTCAAGCACTATCTCATCCTGCCAGTGAGTGCCCCTTCCCCCTCTCCACAGATGCTCTGACCTGCAGGCACAGGGGCAGGGGAATCAGTTCTGGGGGGACTTCCAGCCAGTCCCAGCAGGGGATGTTGTAGGAAGCAGGGCAGACCACTGACCATGGGAAGTTCGCTGCTGCTCCTGTCCCAGCCTGCTCCTGTCCCAGCCTGCCTGTCCCAGCAGGGGGCGGTGTTGCAAGCAGGGCAGGAGCCCTGGTGGTGGGAAGCTCCTGACGTCCTGCAGACCTCCATAAGCCAGAGGTAGCCCCAGGAAAGATCCCAGCCATGTGGATACCACCTCTGGCCAGCATAGGCAGTGAGCAGAGCCCCCATGTAACAAGGGCCTGATACCTGCCCCCTGTTTCTCTGCAGAGCGAGGAAGAGGGGAGACTTTACTTCACCATGGATGATGGGCAGACGCGCTTCACCGACCTCATCCAGCTGGTGGAGTTCCACCAAATCAACCGGGGCATCCTGCCCTGCAAGCTCAGACACTACTGCACCTGTGTAGCCTTGTGACAGGCCCAGTGGGCAGCGAGCCTCCTGGCTGGGCCTCCATGAGCCACAGCCAACAGGCAGTGAGCAGGATCTCTGGACTTGAGCTCCAGGATCAACTCCAATTGTGTGACCATGCTCTGCTCTGCCTGGGCCAAGCCCATGGCACCAGGCAGGGGGAGGACTGGGCTTGGGCCCTGTAACCCACAGGGTGTAGCCAGTACCAGGAGAAAGTCCCAGTAAGGTAAGCGCCAGGACGGCACCTCTGGGATGGACAAGCTCTGAGGAGCCTGAACATGAGGCGGGGAATCACAGTTCAGGAAGAGGTGCCTTGTCCAGGGCTTCCAGGAGACTGAGGCCTCAGCTCAGGGTGGTAGTGGGGGCTTATGCTCCTCTCTCTGCCCCATAATCTTCTGCTATGGTATCCTTCCACCTGTACCCCACTGCCCCTTTAATTCTGTTCCACCCTATATCTCTCTACTCTCATATCTCTCTGTCTCTTCAGTCCTCCCCCCAACTTCTGTCACCCTGGTATCCCTGCCCCCTGCATCCTTCTGCACCTGTAATGTTCTACCCTGGCCCACCTCTGCCCCTTGGTTCCTCCACCCTTGTAAGCCTCCCCTACCTCCCACTCTGTATCCCTCCCTCTCCATCACCCTGCATCTCCCCACTCCATATCCTTCCACCTTGTCTTCCTCCCTCCACCACCAAAGCCCTCTGGCCAGTATCCTTCCACTCCTGTAACCCTCCTCACTAGTATCTCTCTGTTCCTGTCTTTCCCTTCAATTCTTGGCCTTTTGGCTAAGATGAAGTGACAACTTAATTATACACATGCATGCTACTTTTATCATGCATCTTTCCCCTCCCTGTATCACTCCATATCTCTATCCTACCTTTCTTTCCCCTGTATCTTTTCCAGCCTAATCTTCCCCACCCCATGTTCCTCCCCGCAAGCCACTGTATAGCTTTGGTTCCTAGAGTTTCCCCCTCTCTGCCAGCTTCTCAGTGCTCATCATTGTATTTTTTGCTGTTGAGCCTGAGCAGGGTGTCTCTCCTTTTCCTGCGGGGCACTGAGGGCTGGTCCTGTTCAGTGTCCCTACTGCCTCCCTTCTGACAAGCCCGTGGCTGAATGCTGGGCTTTGCACCCTTCCTGCTGGGCGGCAGCAGCCCCAGAGATTGGTTCTTTGGTACTGGGAGGTCTCCCCCACTCATGCACTTTCTCTCTGGGGCTGGGGCTCTTCTAGCCAATGCTCCCCAGGGGCCTTCTGGGTTGGCTCTGCAGGTCTCACTTCCTTTTCTCATAGTGGGGCTAGGGTGACTCAACCTCACCAATGAGACATAAACCAACAGCTTTCATTGGTATCTGAGTCAAGGTCCTTCCATGCACTGAGCTCCCCCTCCAGTGGTACCACCATTTCTCGACCATGGGGTGCTGTAGCTGGCGGCATGGACCCTCCGTGGCTGGTGCAGAGCTCACTCCCATGTTCCTGGGATGGGCTCCTGCCCCAGAGGCAGTATTCAGGGCTGGCTGGGAACAGGGGATAGTAATGCACCAAGCCAGTACTGCACCAGCACCAGAGGTGCCCATGGTGTGCCAGCACTGACGGCAGACAACATTCAGGCTGGTGCTGGCATGTCTGATGTTGCTCACAGGCCTCTGGGAGGAAGGCTTGCAGAGGAGTGAGCTGGAAGCTGCTGCCAGCCAAGTAGCTGGGCCTTGCTTAAAGACTGGGGAAAGAAGGTCTGGTCCGCCTGCCTTGGATGTGGATGTTGGAAGGAACTTGGGACTGAGTGTCATGGACAGCCCCAAAGGAGGTGAGGAGCTTTGATGGGGAAAGCTGGCCTTGCCCTGCCCCTCCCATCTCCCCAAGGCTTTCCCTTCTTGGGCATCTCTGCAGCATCTCTTCAGGCTGCCACACCTTGGGAATGGGTTTGTGCACAGGCCTGGAAAGTCACTTGTTGCCATCATCCTGGGATTGGGGTGCCAACTGCCCTGCTGGGGTGCTTGCAAGGAGCTGCATCCAAGCACAAGCATTTAACTCCACCCAGCAGAGACCCATACCCTTCCAAATCCAGCCTTATCTGGGGTGTCCCTAGCCTCCAAGGCACTAAAGGACCATGTGGGGCAGAGAGAAGGGAGACATCTGTGACCCGTTCTTCCCCTAGAAGTGCTGGCTGGCCCACACAGAGAGGCCGAGACACCACACAGCCTCAGCTAACAGAGCTGGGCTTGTAATTCAAGCAGTAAATTCCTATGTGAGGATCCTGGGTTCAACTTACTCAGGACCGGTGGTACCAGAACCCCTCAGGGGATGGGTGAGTTGGACCCTGGCTTTGCCAAGAGGGTATTGTATATATAAGAGAGGCCAGTCAAACTGTGATGTGTTTTATACAAGTGAGAATAAATGTTATTTTTTCATATCCTTGCTTTTGTTTTGTACAAAAAAAAGAAGGAAAAATAAAACAACCTTCCCCCAGATTAGCACTGATCCTTGTATGCAGACAGAGCTCTCTATTTATATCTGCTCCCAAATCAAGTCACAGCAAATAAAGCTCATGTATTTCACACCTGGCTACTCTGCTTTTCTTGCTGAGGTGGGGGAGGGAGGAGAGATGGGAGGAGGCTGGTTGGGTTTCCAGTCTCCATTTAGCACGGAGTGGAAAACCTTGGTCTCTGTGTGGTGTATAATACTCATCAGAACACAGGAGAGGTTCCATGCAGCAGTCAGCTAGTAAAGGGTTAAGGCTAAAGGTAGGCTGTCAGGCAAAAGAGGTCTTTTCAGGAGCTAGGACTCATAGGTTTTTCTTGCAGCTGTGCTCTTGGCTCCCTGGCTGACACTTGGCCCCTTGCCCTGAATAAGGCTGGATCTTAAGAGCCCTGGATTCAATCTCTCCTTCTACCACTCACTTCCTGCATGATCCAAGCAAGTCACTTGTGCCTCAGTTTCCCCACATACCCCATGGGGATGGTTCTCCATTGCCTCATAGTGGGTGCATCTACACAAGATGTTTACTGCGCAGTTGCCTAATTAGCTCCACAGTAAATGTCTCAGCATCTGCATGTACAGTGCTATTAGGATGAAGTAAACTAATTAACTCCACTGTAGATTAGTACTTGTAAATACAAGCACTATGCTATGGCGGTGTTTTCTGATCGGCAACAACACAACTGTAAACACTGATGGGACTGACTAGAGCATGAGGGTGTTTCAGTGCAGGAGCTGCCTGCTAGCTAGCTCCACACTGAAGCACTCTCATGCCATGGCCAGCCCCTCTGCAGCTCATTGAGCTGGGTCAGAGCAGCCCTAGGCTGGCAGATGGACCCTCAGAGCTCTCTGCCAGCCAGGGCTGCTCTGACCCGGCTCAATGTGCTGCAGTCCAGGCCTGATTTTCAAATATGGTGCATGGGAACACTAAACTTCAGCATGGTATGTGCCGGAGTTTATTGTTGTGTATTAATTGAATATGTAGATACATTCAGTGCATGGCTGTAAAGGAAAACCTGCTGATGCCCAAGAAGAGCTTTAGGTATTTCAGTGAAGGCCTTTCTTTCCCACACTGCTCCCTCTCAGTTGCTAGTGGGAATCTCTGACTAATCCCACAGAGGCCAGTTCAACCCAAGTCTGCAGCCCAGAGCTCCCAGACTGCCTAGGGACTTTGCTACACACAGCTTCCAAAACTAGAATCCAGCTCCTCTTCATGGCTTCAATCCAAAGAGCCTCAAAACAGGCTGTAAAAAGGCTCTTGGCACCCACCTCTCTATGTGGCTTAAACAACTTCCTTCTGCTGCCCACAGTGCCACCATCACCCAACACCCTTATCCCTGGCCAGCATTTCCTCAGCTGGGTGCCCTAGAGCATAGTGTGCTGGGAAGGTTGCCACCTCCTCCTAGGCCTCTCTCTGAGCATCACATGGGCATTGGACCAAATGAGATTAGCCAGCAATCCTCATGGATTTCCATATGGAGCCTAGCACAGAGCAGGAGACTGAAGTCTTGGGCACCAGCCTACAAAGAGCCAGAGCCTCCTTTAGTATACAGGAGGATGTTTAGGGTGAGGTGTGGGGACAGAGGCCACCAGACTTGCCCACACCCTTTGGGCCATTCCAGCCCAAAGCCATGTTCCACATTTTTCCTGCAGGGAGGCCAGCTGGGTCCACCTCACCTATCCAGAATTCATAGATTGTAAGGGCTGGAAGGGACCTCACAAGATCATCAGGTCCAGCCCCCCTGCACTAGGCAGGAAAGACAACTGGGGGTCAGGTGACCCCAGCAAGGTGACTGTCCAGTCTCCTTTTGAAGATTTCCAGGGTAGGTGATTGCACCACCTCTGGAGGGTGGACACCCTAACTATTCAGTCTGGACACCCTAACTGTGAAGAAGTTTTTACTATTGTGAAGTCTGAAACAGTCTTCCAGGAGTTTGTGGCCATTACTCCTGGTTTTCCCCAAGGGTGCCCTGGTGACCAGTTGTTCACCAAGTCCCTGATGTATTCCCCTGATGTAGCGGTAAGTTGCTACAAAGTCCCCTCTCAGCCTTCTCATTTTTAGGCTGAAGAGTCCCAGGTCCCTCAGCCTTTTCTCATATGGCTTTCTGTGCAAGTCTCTGATCATATGGGTGGCCCTCCTTTGGACTCTCTCAAGCTTTACCATGTCCTCGTTGAAGTGCAGTGCCCAGAACTGGACACAGTACTCCAGCTGCGGTCTCACCAATGCCGAATAAAGTGGAAGAATCACTCCCTTGGTTTTGCTTGAGATGCATTGATTGATGTACGCCAGAGTATTATTTGCCCTGCTGACTACAGAGTTGCACTGATGGCTCATATTCATGCAGGTCCCTTTCAGTTGTGGTGCTAGTCAGTTTGGTGCCACCAAGCCTGTAAGTATGTTCATAGATTCATAGATATTAGGGTTGGAAGAGACCACAGTAGGTCATCGAGTCTGACCCCCTGGCCTAGGCAGAAAAGAGGGCTGGGGTCAGATGACCCCAGCTAAGTGCTTCTCCAGTCTCCTCTTGAAGACCCCCAAAGTAGGGAAGAGCATCACCTGCCTTGGAAGCCCATTCCAGATTCTGGCAACCCTTACTGTGAAGAAGTTCTTTCTAATGTCCAACCTAAATCTGTTCTCTGTCAATTTGTGGCCATTGTTCCTAGTTATTCCAGGGGGTGCTCTAGTAAATAGAGCATCTCCTATTTCCTGCTGCCCTCCCCTGATGGATTTATAGGCATCCACAAGATGGCTTCCCAAGTTAAGGATAACAAAAAATTGTTTTTCAGATATATAGGGAGTAAATATGGGCAGAAAACAACAGAATGCAATTCAACAAGGAGAAATGCAAAGTATTGCACCTAGGGAGGAAAAATGTCCAGCATACCTACTGCCTAGGAAATGACCTGCTTGGTGGAACAGTGAGAGTGAGAGACTCAGAAGGGTTTGGGGGAGACGCTGTTTCCCCTAGCCCCTGCTGGCATAACAAGGAATAATGGGCACAAGTTGATGGAGAGGAGGTACAGATTGGACATCCGAAAAAACTACTTCACAGTCAGGGCGGCTAGGAGCTGGAACCAACTTCCAAGGGAGGTGGTGCTGGCCCCTACCCTGGGGATCTTTAAGAAGAGGCTGGATACTTACCTGGCTGGACTCATTTGAGTCCCGTTTTTGTTTTTAGGGTGAGTGGTTTTGTTTGTGTTTTTGGGTTGTTCTCCCGCCCTGGTGGGGGGTCGGGCTAGAAGATCTATTAGGTCCCTTCCGACCCTGAAACTATGAAACTATGGAACGGAAGCGGAAAGGGATCTTGGAGTCCTAGTGGACTCCAAGATGAACATGAGTCGTCAGTGTGACGAAGCCATCAGCAAAGCTAACTGCACTTTATCATGCATCAGCAGATGCATGACAAACAGAACCAAGGAGGTGATACTTCCCCTCTATCGGGCGCTGGTCAGACCGCAGTTGGAGTACTGTGTGCAATTTTGGGCGCCACACTTCAAGAGGGATGTGGATAACCTGGAGAGGGTCTAGAGAAGGGCCACTCATATGGTTAAGGGCTTGCAGGCCAAGCCCTACAAGGAGAGACTAGGGCACCTGGACCTCTTCAGCTTCCGCAAAAGAAGGTCGAGAGGCGACCTTGTGGCTGCCTATAAGTTCATCATGGGGGCGCAGAAGGGAATTGATGAGGCCCTACTCACCAAGGCGCCCATTTTTCCAACCTGTCCAGATCTACCTGGATCCATTCCCTACCCTCTGGTGTGTTAACTTTGCCCCATAATTTGGTATCATAATTTGGTAACTTTGCCCCATAATTTGGTACAGAGGAAATGTCTGTACAGTTGCAAACCAGTTCAGCCTATACTGGTTAGACTAACCTGAAAAGATTGAATCAATTCAGGCTCAGGCTTTTTGAATGTCTGTCCCTAGCCCACATGTCTGCCACCCACATTTCTTCCCCCATCTTCTGTGCATATCTTCCCTAATGACAGCCAGAAAGTGTCAAAGGGGGTCATGGCCTTTACCACCACTGGGGGAGGGAGAGTTTCTCACAGTGCTCCCAGACCCTGGAACTGGAGCAGAGGCTGCAGATGGCATGCCTGACACTGAGTCACATCTCTAATCATGAGAGCCCTCTGCATCCTGCTCCCACAGGTCACACAGTGGCTGATCTGAGAAAATGATATAGGTCAGTGCCCTTTCTGCCTGGGATCTGCCTCTCGGGCACTGCAGAACAATAACGGGCAGCTTCCAGGCAGTCACTCCTGGATCCCAGCAACCTACCTAAGGCAACATAGGCCCTCTGGAATGGAGCAAACTGAGAGCTTCTGGTGCTGCACTAGCCAAGGGATGCCCTCAGCTGGGCACCATTTTTGTAGTAAGTGGAGCAGAAATATAGCAGGAAGGAGATGCTTCCTATGGGAGGGTGAATGGCCTCAGGTAGGAGCTGCACTGCTCTACCCCAAATACCAGGCTCATTAGTTGCAATGACTCTTGGTTAGTTAGGGCTGGACTGGGAGCCAAAGGGCCTTCCACACTATCTTACTTTGCAAGTGTGTCCCAGTCTTCATATTTCAAACTGACTTATTTAGTAAGCACAGAAGGAGCCTGGCCCACATTCATCTGAGTCTTTCTGGGCCCAACTCTCCCACTAATTGAAAATGGGAAAGTACCCAAGGGATTGTCCAGGCCATGCATGTGGTTATCACTTAGGACAGGCCAGCAGCACAGCCAGCTCTTAAACTCCTCCCCCAAGGCTTGCTGTACATGATGCTGTCTCACACAGCATCTAGGAGTTGGTTTAGCCTAGGCCTCATTGTCACTGAGAAGTAAAGCATGAACCATAAAGGCTCAAGTGCCAGAAGAAAGAGCCTGGAGGGGAGCTTTATTTCATGTTTTTAAAATGTCCCCATTTTTAAGCTAATTGCATGGTTTTGAGTGGCCTGATCTGGGGTGCTTTGGTTCACAATGCAGCTGTAAGCTTGTGCATGGACATGAAACCCAACTTCTCTGCAGAAGCAGCATGCCCCCCAGAGCATTCCCAAGGCACCAAGATGATGCACCAGCTCCTCAGATGTGCAGCAC